TAGCTTGTATGGCCCCCACGTGCTTGTATGTATGCCTGACACTATCAGGGCATGCTCCTAATGAGACGAGGAATGGTGTCCTGGGGTATTTTTATCCCAGATCTGGACCAGGGCATCACTGAGCTCCTGGACCGTCTGAGCTGCAACCTGGCAGCATCAGATGGACTGAAAGATGATATACCAGAAGTGTTCTATTGGATTTAGGTCAGGCAAGCATGGGGGCCATTCAATGGTATTAATTCCTTCATCCTCCAGGAACTGCCTGCATACTCTCACCACATGAGGTGAGGTATTGTCGTGCACCAGGAGGAACCCAGGACCCACTGCACCAGTGTGGTGTCTGACAATGGGTCCAAAGATTTCATCCCGATACCTAATGGCAGTCAGGGTGCCATTGTCTAGCCTGTACAGGTCTGTGCATCCCTCCATGGATATGCCTCCCCAGACCATCACTGACCTACCACCAAAATGATGATACAGGCAGCATAACGTTCTCCACGGCTTTTCCAGACCAGTCACATGTGCTCAGGGTGAACCTGCACTCATCTGTAAAAAGCACAGTGCGCCAGTGGCGGACCTGCCAATTCTGGTGTTCAATGGCACATGCAAACTGAGCTCTAAGGTTCTGGGTAGTCAGCACATGCCCACTAGAGGAAGTCGGGCCCTGAGGCCACCCTCATGAAGTCTGCTTCTGTTTATTTGGTCAGAGACATTCACCCCAGTGGTCTGCTGGAGGTCATTTTGTAGGGTTCTGGCAGTGCTCATCCTGTCCCTCCTTGCACAAAGGAGCAGATACCGGTACTGCTGATGGGTTAAGGACCTTCTACAACCCAATCCAGCTCTCCTAGAATAACTGCCTGTCTCCTGGAATCTCCTCCATGTTCTTGAGACTGTGTTGGTAGACACAGCAAACCTTCTGGCAATGGCACATATTGATATGCCATCCTTGAGGAGTTGGACTGCCTGTGCAACCTCTGTAGCGTCTAGGTATCGCCTCACCTCATGCTACCAGTAGTGACACTGACCCTATCCAAATGCAAAACTAGTGAAAAACAGTCAGAAAAGATGAGTAGGGAAAAAATGTCAGTGGCCTCCACCTGTAAAATCACTCCTGTTTTGGGGGGGTCATCTCATTGTTGCCCATCTAGTGCACCTGTTGTTAATTTCATTAACACCACAGCAGCTGAAACTGATTAACAACCCCCTCTGCTACTTAACTGTGCAGACTGATATCCCAGGAGTTTAATTGACTTGATGCTATACTCTGATGAAAAAGTGTTCCTTTAATTTTTTTGAGCAGTGTATTTATGTAAGAAGTGGTCACTGTAATGGTTGATATGAATAGCGCCTTTCTCTTAGGTCAAAAAACTTTTTATCCTGAGTTGAAGGGTAGCCATAATGGGTTCACAGGTGCCTCTGGGAGACTTGTATGGGCCCTAATTCTAGGGGGCTTATGTGATACCCCAGTACTAGTACTGGGCCTTTCATCTAGGGGTCTAGCACGATGGTGCTGGCCAATTCAGAAGTGGGGTGTACGACACTGCTGGTAGTTGCCTGGTCTACAGAGTGCCTCACCTTTCTGGAGGGACCCTTTCCTCTTCTGATTCAATTACTGACGCACTACTTTCCACATCTTCGTACTCCAAATTGGAAACAGACTGTGAAATTTCCCAGCTGCCCTTATCCCTCACACTGAGGATTTGAAATGCCTCCTCACTAGTATAACATTTTTTGGACATGACTGGCTCTGATGACCCTGGGAGAGGTGCATTGCTGATAACACCTGTGTGATGGGTGCACTGCTGAGGGCAGATGTGTGACATGTACACTGCTGATGGCGGATGTGTCACATGTACACTGCTGATGAGTGCCTGTGTGTCAGGGCTCCCGGGTATGACCAGAGGTATGTGACTGACGTAGGGAAACGCAGGCTTCAGATATGTTATAAACAATATAATTTATTAACACTAACAACACAAACATAAACGCAGTGCAATACTAAAACATAACACAGTGCAAACAAACCAAACCAACCACCCACAGATAACAGTACATACAATGCAAGCGTCGTCAGGCAGGCCGGGTCAATAACAATCGGGCAGGTAGGTACAGGGGGAGCAAGCGGAGAATGGTCGGGGTCACAAGCCAGGTTCAGCAGGTACGGGCAGCGTGGTACAGAGGGTCATGCAGAGGGATGCTCAGGAACGAGCCGGGGTCAGAGCAGGAGAGGGTCAGCGTAATCAGAACAGGCAGAGTTTGGCAACAAGGAAACGTACTAGCAGGAACACAGGAACAGGAACAAGAATGCAGGATTACAAGATACAGGGCGCAGGAAAAACACACACACCAAGGCAAAGACTGCAGGTCTGGCCATCACTTAAATACACCTGCATAAGCAGTTTGAGGTGTTTGGCTGACTGCAGGGTTGAGTTTCTGATTGCTGGGAGCACCCGCTGGCCAGCCCTGGTACTGCAGCCCACAAGGCAGGTGAGTCCCACCACTACTGGCAAGTCCATTCCTAACAGTACCCCCCCCCCCTCAAGGAGCGGCCTCAGGACGCTCCAAACAGTCCTAGCTGGGCAAAATGTTCCACCGCCCGGGTCTAGTAACTGGCGGGATATCAAAGACTGGCACATCGGGCAGGACTCCGGGCAGGACTCCGGGCAACGGCACACTGGGCAGCGGCACATCGGGCAGGACTCCGGGCAGCCGCACATCTGGCAGGACTCCGGGCAGCGGCACATCGGGCAGGACTCCGGGCAGCGGCACATCGGGCAGCGGCACATCGGGCAGGACTCCGGGCAGCGGCACATCGGGCAGGACTCCGGGCAGCGGCACATCGGGCAGGACTCTGGGCAGCGGCACATCGGGCAGGACTCCGGGCAGCGGCACATCGGGAAGGACTCCGGGCAGAGGCACATCGGGCTGGACTCCGGGCAGAGGCACATCGGATCACCAGGCGAAGCAGCAGGCACCGGGCCACCATGCGGAGCAGCAGGCACCGGGCCACCAGGCGGAGCAGCAGGCACCGGGCCCCCAGGCGGGGCGACAGGCACCGGGCCCCCAGGCGGGGCGACAGGCATCGGGCCCCCAGGCGGGGCGACAGGCATTGGGCCCCTAGGCGGGGCGACAGGCATCGGGCCCCCAGGCGGGGCGACAGGCATCGGGCCCCCAGGCGGAGCGACAGGGCTCGGGCCCCCAGGCGGAGCGGCGGGCGCCAGACCCCCAGGCGGAGCGACAGGTCTCGGGCCCCCAGGCGGAGCGGCGGGCGCCGGATCCCCAGGCGGAGCGACAGGTCTCGGACCCCCAGGCGGAGCGGCGGGCACCGGACCCCCTGGCGGAGCGACAGGTTTCGGGCCCCCAGGCGGGGCGCCAGGCATCGGGCCCCCAGCGGGGTGACAGGCATGGGGCCCCCAGGCGGGGCTACAGGCATCGGGCCCCCAGGCGGAGCGACGGGGCTCGGGCCCCCAGGTGGGGGTGACAGGCATCGGGCCCCCAGGCGGGGCGACAGGCATCGGGCCCCCAGGCGGGGCGACAGGCATCGGGCCCCTAGGCGGGGCGACAGGCATCGGGCCCCCAGGCGGGGCGACAGGCATCGGGCCCCCAGGCGGGCGACAGGGCTCGGGAGGGCTCGGGCCCCCAGGCGGAGCGGCGGGCGCCGGACCCCAGGCGGAGCGGCGGGCGCCAGACCCCCAGGCGGAGCGACAGGTCTCGGGCCCCCAGGCGGAGCGGCGGGGCGCCGGATCCCCAGGCGGAGCGACAGGTCTCGGACCCCCAGGCGGAGCGGCGGGCACCGGACCCCCAGGCGGAGCGACAGGCCCCCAGGCGACGCCAGGCATCATCGGGCCCCCAGGCGGGGTGACAGGCATGGGGCCCCAGGCAGGGCTACAGGCATCGGGCCCCCAGGCGGGGAGCGACAGGCTCGGGCCCCCAGGCGGAGCGGGGCGCCAGACCCCCAGGCGGAGCGGCGGGCGCCGGACCCCCAGGCGGAGCGACAGGGCTCGGGCCCCCAGGCGGAGCGGCGGGCGCCGAATCCCCAGGCGGAGCGACAGGTCTCAGGCCCCCAGGCGGAGCAGCGGGCGCCGGACCCCCAGGCGGAGCGACAGGTCTCGGGCCCCCAGGCGGAGCGGCGGGCCGAATCGGACCAGGCGGGGTGACCAGGGGCCCCCAGAGCGGCGGGCCGCGCCAGGCGGACGACCCCTCAGGCCCCCAGGCGGAGCGGCGGGCGACAGCGGGGCGCCGGACCCCCAGGCGGAGCGACAGGTCTCGGGCCCCCAGGCGGAGCGGCGGGCGCCGGACCCCCAGGCGGAGGAGCGGGGGCGCCGGACCCCCAGGCGGAGCGACAGGTCGCGGGCCCCCACCCAGCGACGGAGTGACAGGTCTCGGGCCCCAGGCGGAGCGACAGGTCTCGCGGAGCGGCGGGCGCCGGACCCCCAGGCGGAGCAACAGGTCTCGGGCCCCCAGGCGGAGCGGCGGGCGCCGGACCCCCAGGCGGAGCGACAGGTCTCGGGCCCCCAGGCGGAGCGGCGGTCGCCGGACCCCCAGGCGGAGCGACAGGCACCGAGTCACCAGGCACGACAGTGGGCTCCGAGTCAACTGGCATGACCACGGGCACTGGGTCAGACATTGGATCGTCTGGCTGGACAGCGGGCATCGGTCACCAGGCATCAGGTCATTTGGCTCGACAGCGGGCACCGCGTCATCTGGCAAGGCAGTGGGCACCAAGTCACCAGGCACGACAGTGGGCTCTGAGTCAATTGGCATGACAGCGGGCACCCGGGTCATCATGTACCCCGATCGTCTGGCTCGACAGCAGGCACCGGGTCATCTGGCGCTGGATCGTCTGGCTCGACAGCGGGCACCGGATCACCAGGCATGACCGCGGGCACTGGGTCATCAGGCATTGGATTGTCTGGCTCGACAGCGGGCATCAGGTCACCAGGTATGACCACGGGCACTGGGTCACCAGGCATCAGGTCATTTGGCTCGCCAGCGGGCACCGCGTCACCTGGCAAGGCAGTGGGCACCGAGTCACCAGGCACGACAGCGGGCTCTGAGTCAATTGGCACGACAACGGGCACCGGGTCATCAGGTACCGGATCGTCTGGCTCGACAGCAGGCACCGGGTCATCTGGCGCTGGATCGTCTGGCTCGACAGCGGGCATCGGGTCACCAGGCATGACAGCGGGCACTGGGTCATCAGGCATTGGATCGTCTGGATCAACAGCGGGCATCGAGTCAACTGGCCTAATAGGATCATCAGGCTGGATCAGTTCATCAGGCTGGGTAGAAACATCATGCTGGGTAGAGGCAGCAGGCTGAATGGAGGCAGCAGGCTGAATAGAGGCATCAGGCCGGGTAGAGGCATCAGGCCGGGTAGAGGCATCAGGCTGAATGGAGGCATCAGGCTGAATGGAGGCATCAGGCTGGGTGGAGGCATCAGGCTGGGTAGAGGCATCAGGATGGGTACAGACATCAGGCTGGGTACAGACATCCGGTTGAAGTGCGGGTGCTGAGGCACCAGGCTGAACCACGGAAGGCCGGTTCTCAGACGGCAGGCTCACCGGTTTGGATACTGGCAGGATGGTACTGGTTGGAAAGAATTTTCGCTTTTTTCTGGTTTTAACTACTGGAGCACTGCAAGTAAACGCAGGTCTGCAAACGAATGGAGCAGCTGGAGACAGAGAAGAGCTGGAGGATGGAACAGGGGAGTGAACAGTTGCTACAGAGGACTTCTTTACAGGGTTAAAGGCAGGATAGGTGCAGCGAGTGGGAACAGGGTACTGACATGCGGTAGATAGCAGGGCAGGAGGAGCTGTTGGGAATGCAGAAATAGAGCTTTGAGGAAATAGATTAGAAGCAGGACTGGGTTTTTGCAAGCTGACTGAGGCTGGGTGCAACAAATCTGTCCATGTCTGCAGTATGGGTTGAACAAAGCTGAGCTTACACAAAGCCTGTCTGACCAAAGACTGCACTGCGTTTATACAATCTCTTAGTATCTGTGGTGAACATGCAGAATAACGCTCCAGAAAGTAATCCACATCATCCTCTAATAACCACACCAGGGACTCTACCTGGTCGGCACTAAATGGTGGCAAAAAATTCATCCCTGCATTCGGGGGTACCAGATGAAACCAACTCCGCACAAACCTGAATCAATGGCTGCACCTCAGAGAACTCTGTGCCCTGATCTACTAGAACATGAGCGAGCCGTATACATTCTAGCAGTTCATCCCGGGGATACTCCTTCAGAGTCTGATAAGCATATTCTCTGTCATCAAACACTAGCAGATATAAATACACAACCTCATCAAGATCCATCCTTCCCATCAACAAACCAAGATGGCTTCCCTGTGCAGCCACTTCTGGTCAGGATGGGCCTTGGTGTAATGTCAGGGCTCCCGGGTATGACCAGAGGTATGTGACTGACGCAGGGAAACGCAGGCTTCAGATATGTTATAAACAATATAATTTATTAACACTAACAATACAAACATAAACGCAGTGCAATACTAAAACATAACACAGTGCAAACAAACCAAACCAACCACCCACAGATAACAGTACATACAATGCAAGCGTCGTCAGGCAGGCCGGGTCAATAACAATCGGGCAGGTAGGTACAGGGGGAGCAAGCGGAGAATGGTCGGGGTCATAAGCCAGGTTCAGCAGGTAGCGGGCAGCGTGGTACAGAGGGTCAGGCAGAGGCATGGTCAGGAACGAGCCAGGGTCAGAGCAGGAGACGGTCAGTGTAATCAGAACAGGCAGAGTTTGGCAACAAGGAAACGTACTAGCAGGAACACAGGAACAGGAACAAGAATGCAGGATTACAAGATACAGGGCCCAGGAAAAACACACACACCAAGGCAAAGACTGCAGGTCTGGCCATCACTTAAATACACCTGCATAAGCAGTTTCAGGTGTTTGGCTGACTGCAGGGTTGAGTCTCTGATTGCTGGGAGCACCCGCTGGCCAGCCCTGGTACTGCAGCCCACAAGGCAGGTGAGTCCCACCACTACTGGCAAGTCCATTCCTAACACTGTGTGACATGTACACTGCTGATGAGTGCCTTCGTGACAGGTACACTGCTGATGAGTGCCTGTGTGACATACACACTGCTGATTTGCGGCTGTGTGACAGGTACACTGCTGATGAGTGCCTGCGTGACAGGTACACTGCTGATGAGTGCCTGCGTGACAGGTGCACTGCTGATGAGTGACTGCGTGACAGGTGCACTGCTGATGAGTGCCTGCGTGACAGGTGCACTGCTGATGAGTGCCTGCGTGACATGTACACTGCTGATGAGTGCCTGCGTGACAGGTGCACTGCTGATGAGTGCCTGCGTGACATGTACACTGCTGATGAGTGCCTGCGTGACAGGTGCACTGCTGATGAGTGCCTGCGTGACATGTACACTGCTGATGAGTGCCTGCGTGACATGTACACTGCTGATGAGTGCCTGCGTGACAGGTGCACTGCTGATGAGTGCCTGCGTGACAGGTGCACTGCTGATGAGTGCCTGCGTGACATGTACACTGCTGATGAGTGCCTGCGTGACAGGTGCACTGCTGATGAGTGCCTGCGTGACAGGTGCACTGCTGATGAGTGCCTGCGTGACAGGTGCACTGCTGATGAGTGCCTGCGTGACAGGTGCACTGCTGATGAGTGCCTGCGTGACAGGTGCACTGCTGATGAGTGCTTGCGTGACATGTACACTGCTGATGAGTGCCTGCGTGACAGGTGCACTGCTGATGAGTGCCTGCGTGACAGGTGCACTGCTGATGAGTGCCTGCGTGACAGGTGCACTGCTGATGAGTGCCTGCGTGACATGTACACTGCTGATGAGTGCCTGCGTGACGGGTACACTGCTGATGAGTACCTGCGTGACGGGTACACTGCTGAGTGCCTGCGTGACATGTACACTGCTGATGAGTGCCTGCGTGACAGGTACACTGCTGATGAGTGCCTGCGTGACATGTACACTGCTGATGAGTGCCTGCGTGACATGTACACTGCTGATGAGTGCCTGCGTGACAGGTACACTGCTGATGAGTGCCTGTGTGACAGGTACACTGCTGATGAGTACGTGTGTGACAGGTACACTGCTGATGAGTACGTGTGTGACAGGTACACTGCTGTTGGTTGGCTGTGTGAAAGGTGCACTGCTGATGGCGGCACTGATGGCTGCTATGTGATATGTACACTGCTGATTTGCGGCTGCGTGACAGGTACACTGCTGATGAGTGCCTGCGTGACAGGTGCACTGCTGATGAGTGCCTGTGTGACATGTACACTGCTGATGAGTGCCTGTGTGACAGGTACACTGCTGATGGCGGCACTGATGGCTGCTATGTGATATGTACACTGCTGATTTGCGGCTCCGTGACAGGTGCACTGCTGATGAGTGCCTGTGTGACATGTACACTGCTGATGAGTGCCTGTGTGACATGTACACTGCTGATGACTGCCTGTGTGACATGTACACTGCTGATGAGTGCCTGTGTGACATGTACACTGCTGATGAGTGCCTGTGTGACATGTACACTGCTGATGAGTGCCTGGGTGACATGTACACTGCTGATGAGTGCCTGCGTGACAGGTGCACTGCTGATGAGTGCCTGTGTGACAGGTACACTGCTGATGAGTACGTGTGTGAAAGGTACACTGCTGTTTGTTGGCTGTGTGAAAGGTACACTGCTGATGGCGGCACTGATGGCTGCTATGTGACAGGTACACTGCTGATGGATGACTGTAAAAGGTACACTGCTTATGGGCGAATGTATGAAGGGTACACTGCTGATGGCGGCACTGATGGCTGCTGTGTGACAGGTACACTGCTGATGGGCGGCTTTGTGAAAGGTACACTGCTGATGGCAGCACTGATGGCTGCTGTGTGAGGTACACTGCTGATGGCAGCACTGATGGCTGCTGTGTGAGGTACACTGCTGATGGGCGATTGTGTGACAGGTACACTGCTGATTAGCAAATGTGTGACAGGTACACTGTTTCATGGTGGCTGTGTGACAGGTACAGTGCTGTCCAGGGGAATCAGTTCATCACAGAACGTTGTGTTATGTGCCCCTGTGGGTGCTCACGAGAATCAAGTCAGGGAGGATGTCATATGATGTCCACCCAGGATGGCAATGTTCACTTGTGGACATCATTCTTCTATAGGTTGCATGGGAAGTCAAAAAATAAGTAATTTTTTAACTGTCAAAAAATATGTCATTTTTTTAACTGTCAAAAATATGTCAATTTTTAACTGTCAAAATGTAACTGTCATTTATTAACTGTTAAACTGCCATTGTTGGCTAATGGTGGCTGTTTGATAGGTACACTGCTAATGGGTGGCCATGTGACAGGTACACTGCTGATGGTGACACTGATGGCTACTATGTGACAGATACACTGCTGATGGTGGCACTGATGGCTGCTGTGTGACAGGTGCACTGCTGTTTTGTGGCTGTGCACCAGGTACACTACTGATCAGTGATGCACTGTGTCCAGAGGAATCAGTTAACCACAGATCATCATGCTACGCAACCCTGGGGGTGCGCACGAGTGACAAGTCTGTGAGGACATCATATGAGGTCCACCCAGAATGGCATCATTCTACTATAGGTCCAGCGGGATGTCAAAAAGTCAGTTTACAACCGTCAAAAAGTAACTGTCACTCTTTTACCATAAAAAATAACTGTCATTTTGCAACTGCCATTAGTTAACTGTTAAACGGTACTGTAATTTTTTTTAACTGTCAAAAGATAATTGTCATTTTTAATTGTTAAACTGCCATTGATGGTGGCTATGTGACACGTACACTGCTAATTTGTGGCTGTTTGACAGGTTCACCGCTGATCAGTGATGTGCTGTGTCCAGGGGAATCAGCTCACCACAGATCTTAGTGCTATTCACCCCCTGGGGGTGTGCATGAGCAGCAAGTCTGGCAGGATGTCATATAATGCCCACCCAGAATGGATGGCAGCAGCCAATCCCAGCCATAATTCTACTATAGGTTGGGCGGGAAGTGAAAAAGGACCTGTCATTTTATAACTGTCAAAAAATAACAGTCATTGTTAACTGTCAAAACGTATCTGTCAACATTTAACTGTCAAAAAATAAATGTCAATTTGTAACTGTTTTTTTTTCACTTAAAAATGTTATTGATTTTAATAAAGAGGTGATACAGAGTAATAAAAGCTTTTAGAACTGCTGTAATTACATTTCTGAGCAGATGACCTTCAGATAACTGTAACTGTAATTTTTAACTGCCATTTCTATAAAAAAAAATATTTCTCAACTTTTTTCAACTGTCAAAAAAATAACTATTATTTTCCATCTGTCATTTTCCATCTGTCCAAAAATAACTGTAATTTCCCAACTGTAAAAACTAACTGTCATTTTCCTACTGTCAAAAAAAATAACTGTCATTTTCCAACAGTCAAAAAATAACTGTCACTTTCCAACTGTCAAAAAATGGCTGTCATTTTCCAGCTGTCAAAAAACAACTGTCATTTTACAACTGTCATTTTGTAAGTGTCATTTTTTTAAAGAAAGTTGACAGTTATTGTTTTAGCTATAATTTTTGAACTGTCAAAAAATAACTATCATTTTGAATTGTCAAAAAGCAACTGTCATTTTTTACCTGTTTGAACACCAAGCCTTTCTGTCACTTTTTGTTTACATGTAAAAATCAGTAATTTTTGCTAGAAAATCACTCTGAAACCCCAAACATATTTATTTTTTTAAAAGCAGAGGCCCTAAAGAATAAAATGGTGGGTGTTGTAATTTTTTATGTGACACGGTTTTTGCGCACATTGTTATACGCACCGTATTTATGTATATTTTTATTATCCATAGGCAAATACTCAAAAGCTTTTACAGGTTATCACATTAGATTTACACAGGGGCTAGTGCTAGAATTACTGTCTGTGATCTGACATTCACAGTGATACCTCACATGGGTGGTGTGACCGCTGTTTACGTACCGACACGGGACTGACTCATGAGAGCATGTGGAGGCGAGTTTTTTTTTTT